CCACACATTTAGGGTGAGAGGGTTTTCAGAAGGAAGAAAAGTAGTCCTTGCCCTTACAGACTAGAGTGGCTTAACCTCCTTCAGGTTCTGCCAAAGCACTCAGGATCTGTCAATTGCAAAGAAGAAGAAAGACTTTCCCCAAGGGGCCAAAAGTAACCTTTTAGCTAACACCTTGATGGGAGATGCCAGTCCAGAGTCACAGTGCAGAGGTTTCCAGACCTCTGGAGATGTGACCCAGACACAAAGCTCCAGCTGCGTGTGAACAGCTTAGCTGGCCACCACAAACATCACAGTTTAAAAGATCAAGGCAAGGGGTGAGTTCCCCTAGGAGGCTGCCAAAATATGCTGGGAATGAGGAACCCAAGGAACAGAGGCACTTACTAAGCCAGAACTGACTGACGCACAAATTGTAGTAAAGGATAGGCACTGTGGAGTCCATCACAGTGAGCAAATTATCAAGAGAGAATTACCACCTAACCCCGGGAGGAACTAACTAAGTCTTAGCGGTCCTTAGGAGTTAGGCTGTAGTTGCTTGTATAAGGCATGGTAAGTGGCTGGTTTAGGCTCCAAGCAGTCAAGGTCTTACTGTTAGAAAGTGGGGATTCACACCCACCTTTGTTTTTTATCTCCTCAAGCAGGGGAGAGACAGGATGGTAGCATTTTAGGCCCCTTTCAAGTTATTTCTCTTAGCAGGAAGCTGCTGTGATTTTAGTGTCTTGATGCAGGAGCATTCTCTTGCATCTGGTGAAGGCTAATGTCTACAACCTCCGCTCAAAACTACATTAGCCTGTCGTGGGAGTCTTCAAGAGCAGCCTGTAACTCCTTGGCCCATCCCTACAGCCGGAGTGGCTCCTCTCAGATACCCCTAGAATAAATAAAACGTTTAAGAGGTTAGACACTTAAGACTTGCCAAATGATGTTAGTGAGTTCAATGGGCATTTCGGGTATCCCAAACAAGGAACTGGACAGACAGACATGTGGATAATAGCAAGCAAAGCAAGAGAATTTATTAAGAAATGATTCAGTTCCTAGGGAGGTGAAGCAAGCTGGCACACAGAGAAAGTCCAGCAGCTCAGTGATAGCACACTAAGGGTTGGGAACTTTGAGGTAATTTGCATAGTGTCTTAGTTGGGGCTCCTATTGCTGTGATAAAACACCACAACCAAACGCACATTTCATCTTATAACCCTCAGGTCATGCTCTCCTCCTGAGGAAAGCCAGTGCAGGAACTGGTCTG